GCGGCCAAGAAATATAGATAACACCCTTCAGCGCATAGAATTTTCGATGAAAAGAATGGGTAGGCACCTGACATTTAGTATCTTTCTGGTTTAGAATTCTAAGGCAGAAAAGTAACCAAATAGAAGCAGTAGAGGTACTTACAAAGGTCGAAGTGGCTTCTTGGGGAGGAATGTTGAGGTCCTAAGCCTGCGGGTGAACGGGCGTTTCTGCCGTCTCTTCTGGCTCTACGGCAGGTTGTTTTCCATGATTGGCCGCAGGAGGGCCGACTTGAACAACAGCCTCGGACACGGGGGGAGGTCGATTACGTGGTTGAGGGTGACTCGTCAATGGAATCTCGTCGTTCCCATCGCTCTCTTCTAGAACGACTGTCGTTTGTTTTGGATTTTCGGGAAGATTTTTCTTGGCCAAGGGGATTGCCCCTTCCAAGATGGGCGCAGCAGCTGACCCCGAAGCTGCAGATGCCTCGACCAGTGGAGCAACAACTGGTTCGATAACTTTAGCAACAGGCCGGACTTGGGTTGTTTCTTTGGCCGGAAATGGCCGTTTCTTTGTCGAGGCTTGGACTACGGGGGCAGAATGGGAAACACTAGGAGTCGTCGCTCTCATAGTCTGGCAAGAGATAACATGAATCTCCCGTTCTCCTTTCTTCGCCAGCTTCTTGACCCGTTTTACGTGGCGAGGGGGTTCGATAGCCGTCTCGGCCTCTTGACGAGGCCGTTTGCTTAGCAGGGCATGCGCGGTAGTCTTAGTCCTCTTGGAGATAATAAATTTTTTTCCCAGCCGCAGCGACAGCGATCACTTCTGCCTTTTTCAGTGACCGACTACCTGAGAAAGCAAAAGCAAATTAGTAGAGTTCAAAGTCGAAGGAAGAAGGTAGAAATAGACCATTACCTTGGGATTGGGGGCAAAGCTTTATTAGGTTGATCGCTAAAGATCTTGTTCAGGACGTCTTCGACTGGAGCGCTAAAAAATTTTTGGGTATACTCTTCCCACCAGTCACCGAAAGTATCAGTGCTAAGAGATTCTGGAACGGTTGGTCGAAGGCGGAATTTTTGGCATCGTTCCAGAAACTCCCTTTTGGCATCTTGCAATCTTTTTCTGAAGAGCCAGATAGGCGTCCTCGGCTTAGCATAGAGCGAAAGGTAAGAAGAGGCACTGGGCAACCTTGAAGATAACCGAGTTATCAAGCAGTGAAGTGGGGGTGATATACCTCCCAACTTGCTCGGTGAGCGTCACACCCAAGAGGAAGGTCACGGGTAAGCACAAACGATCCCCAGAATTGACAGAGATCAGCATCATCATATGCACTCCATGCTGATGTGGGGAGTTTGATCGATAAAGGATACTCTCGACGATAGCAGATCAAGAATTCGTCGTCGGAAAGGACATCAAGGCCAAAGAAGTATCTAAACACGTATTCAGCCTGGTGAGGAGGTGCTGGTCGAGAAGCCAGCTAAATGTCGAGTGCTTCAGTAGGTGAGAAGCTGGCGAGTTTTGGCCGAAGAGTGACAAAATAAACCTGCAGCCCGAGTTGGAATACCCAGAAGGGGCCACTCTGGTGTAGGTCGATCTTGTGGAGGGTCATCTCGCCCAAACAGCGTAGGAGATGGGCAAGAATAGCTGCACTAAGCGCCAGGGTGTGACCGCTAGCCAGGGCTTCGGCCACCGGCATGTTCTCGACCAAGCATTTATTGGACTTGGTACAACAAATGAATTTGTTATACCAGTAGAAAATGAAGGCTTCGTGTTCCTCCCGTCATAGGTTTTCCTCTCCTCGGCCGAAAAAGTGGAGGTAAAGGGTGTCGTAGTTAAGGAAGTTCTTATAAAGTTTCTGAACGTCTTCCTTTGAGGGTTCTTGACCTTCTCCGCTCAGCGTTTCGATGGCCCGATTGTTGAAAAACGATTTCAGGTCGATGTTTGACGGGTACCTGGAGAGGGTAGCGTCAACTAGGATGCCAAAAGGGGAAGTCCCTAGGATCGCGGTAATGTCAATGATAGTGGGGCCAATGGGGCAGAATGGGAGGACCATAATGTTGGTGGCTGAGCACTAGAAGCTTGAGGCTACCATAAGAAGCTCCTTGTCCACGACAAGCTCCATAGACGAAAGGTGAATTGCATCGTAAATGCCAAGAGCTTTCCATTGCTCATCGAAAATCTTTTCCATTCGTGCAACCCAGGTCGCAGTGGTCGAAGGCCAAGAGCCATGAGATTTTGCTGAATCCCATTTCGATAATTCAAACCCTTGCAGTAGGGGTGTTAGGCAGTGATCCTTGAAGAGTTTGGTGATGGCTGGTGGCACTGTGTCCTTAAAAAGTGGACCAAGGATCTGGTGGGTGGTGCTCATGTCGCTCTCAAAGTGCAAAGTCTTGATTGAGCGTTGGTTGATGATTGCCCCATATTCGTCACATTCCTTAGAAAGCTTGGAGATGAAGGAGGCCATTGGAAATGGTTTTGAAGGTTTTCTGGGAAGAATTCAGGGGGTTTTCTTTGGTTTTCTGAACAGGAGAGATTTTGGAGAATTTGAAAATGTAAAGAATGAATAATAGAAGTCTGGGTATTTATAGACTTGTGGAAGGAAAGATCAAGCGAGGATTTTTAAAAGTTAGGATGAGAGTGATCGGGAAGATCGCTAATAATTATGGAGTGACAGAGAGTATTAACAGACCTAGGAGAAAGAACTGAAAAACTCGCAGATTGAGGATTCATGATGATATCGTGACGACGTTCTTTTATGAAGAAATGACGTTTCGGTGTTCGCACGATCTCGAGGGTACCGAAAGATTTACAAATTAAGATTGCACGATGGCATGCGGTGACAGGTATAATGATTTTTGGACGTCTGGACATCTACACCTCTTGAGAAATCCAAAAATCTCGCAGATCAAAAGGGTAATGATGAAAGGACATTTCAAGTCATGCTGAGAAGAGGACACTTGGTGAGATATCTAACGAGATCAAGATCGTGCAATCGTGCAATCGTGCTTCATAAATGCACCTCGGGAGATGGAGTCTGGTTTCGCTTCTTCAAGGTCAGGGCTCGGCTAGAGATTTTAGGTCGAAAAAGCCTCATAAACGAGGAGGCAATGTTTGGGCCCAAAATGTTGGTTTGGGCCCAAAATGTTGGTTTGGGCCAAGTTTTATTCTCGGCCCAAAAGGCCTTACGAAAAGGTTATCGTGGATCGTCTAGTTCATAGGGTTCCTAGCCTAGGTCAGCCAAGTCTTGATGTGAGAACGAGTAATTGAATCCTGGCACAATAAGGAGTTTCGGCAAGATAAAGATATTGATAACCCGGAAATGAATGCGACGATAAAGGACTGGGTTCAAAGTCGTAGTGAAAATAGGACTGGTCGAGATAGTGTTTGACCAGAATAAGAAGTCCTAATCCAAGTAGGGTTTTAACTCGATCCAGAGAAGACCTACTGCTATAAATAGGGAGGGAAGACATCAAAACAAGCCCCTTCAATTCAACACATAACTGCCTTGTGCAAATTCTCTCAACAACCTTGAGAATTTTTTCTTTTCGCCGACATACCTTCAGTTTGGATAAACAGCACTGTGAAGGCAACCGGTGATATCTTCAGTTGGTATAAACAGCACTATCGCCATAGAATCAGTCAATCTTGCAGCATCTTCAGTTGGCATAAACAGCACTGCATCAAGGGTGACTGGTTATCTATCCAAGTCTTAGTCGAGAAGGATTTCCGAATCCTTATTGGTTGAGGTTATCTCATTAGCCTTCTCGGCGAAGTGAGGTGTTACAGTTTACTGGGCTCGGCACATTGCACGCCGAGTTATTTTATGATTGGATACTCATAAGTGGGATTTAGAATTCGGCATTCCGACAGCCGAACCACGTTTACTGTTAAGACTTATATCCGCTTTGAGTATTTGTACCCTTACACTTTGGTGTCGATTCGGCGTGAGTTTACTCTGACGAATACCATCACTATGACCGAATCCGACGATGACGATTTGTGAACTTCTTAAGAATAGTAGCCTTGTCTTCAGGTTCGAGAACCCAAGAGGCCAAGACGTGTTTCTTCCTCAGTCGGAATTGCAAGACAAAGTCAGTCGCACGCTCAACGCAACGTCAACACATTTTACTCATCAGCCGAGCTCAGCCGACGAGTTGGCACACCCCGCATTCAACTGAAGGACGTAGTTAGCTCTTGATTACTCGGCCTACGTGCCATGTAGGCTTGGTAATTTTTAGGGTCAACAGAAGTGTACCAATTTTTTTAACACTATGGATACTTTCTTTCGCCATTTCTTATTTTTACATAATTTTATCCATTTATTCAATCAAAATGTTTGAATTTTTTAATTGTAACCGTTTCTAATAGTATTAGAATGAGGGATTTTAAATTTATAGGATTATAAATCTCATAAAATATCAAACAATTAATGTCAAAACTATAAAAATATAAATATTAATAATAATATAATGAGGTGTACAAAGTCAAGGGAGTTTGATCAAACTTTGAATACTATTAAGGTTTTAATAAAAAAATGTTAAGAATTAGGGACCGCATCCAAAGTATTCCTTTCGAAAAATACAGAAACATGGAAATTCCATGATCCAATTAATTAACAAAATTTCCCTTCAATACACGTCGCAGAATCACAGCCATCATTAGTAGAAAAAAGCTCATCTACCACGGTGGATGTCTGTGATAAATTGCAATCTACCACGAACATCGTGCCCGTTAGTATTCTGGATGTGATAAAAAGTCTCTATTTCTACCACGGGCTATGTTCGTTGTCAAATGCAATGTAACCACAAGTTGTGTTCGTGGTATATTGGAATCCAATACCACGTGTTTTGGCCATTGTGGATTACAAATTGATCACGGCTATTGCCCGTTGTATAAAATTTTCCGAAAATTAAAAAAAAAATAAATCAATAAACAAATATATATATATATATAAAGATATTTATTTACAAGATTGCATATTTACTTTATAAAAATTCACATATTCAAATATTAAACTAAAAGCTAACAACAAAATGAGTAGTTATATTAAGAAAACCAAATCACTGAGTTATGCTACAGTAGTGTACCAAAACATGTAGAATTTGTTTCACTCTAAAACAAACTCAAGTCCTGGTTCCATCCTTGGTCCTCCAATGATATTCATCTTCTCTGCAATCCTTTCTTCAAGCCAATCACAATTCAAATTTGCATAGTTGATATTTGAATTATAAACCCTCATGAAGTAGAACCACCAACCACCTATGAGACAAACAAGGAAAAATATAAAGCTTAGAAATCAAAACTCATCACTTAAGGACATCATACACAAAACAATTCAAATTCACAAAGTCAATTAGACAAAAGGCAAGTAATCATGATCCAAGTGAGTACATGGTGCATGTCAAAAAAGTACCTAAGACACCTGAAATTATAAGGACCAAAGAGTCAAGGAACATTGAAACTTCATTTAGCATTAGATACAGTACATACCAATACTTGTTCAACATCCAGCAAAGGAATCATCTTTAATTCTCCTTTTCCATATAACACTTAGGTAGACAACTCGTCCTGTACGCCATGATAGAAATATCATTTACTACAGTTCAAACAAGAGAGATAGCAATACCTTATGACCCAATTCTTCCAACCAAAACCTTTCTTTGATCCTGAAATTCAATGTGGCAGTATAACAAAACATAAAGAACTTACACCACGCATAGCAGACTCTCGAGTTTGTTCTTTTACTCTTATAATTCAAACATAATTATGCAGGAACACTAAACTCCCATTATGCAATTTGTTTAAATCAATGCCCCAAAATTAATTTCATCACAATTCATTAGACAATGATAAATTAATCCCACCAATTTAGGAACCCAACAATTTTCTTCATCATTTCAACAAGTTACCATAACCAGAGACTTAAAACAATAAAATAAAAAAATGAAGCTTAATTACCCCAAGTGAAAAGCAACCTATCTGAGGCAGCAGAGGCGGTGTGCTCGCGATCGCAAGCAATGTCCAGCCACCACCAATTAGCCCCGGCCATGCACCTAAAAAGCCCTGGAGAGCTACTTCGGGATCCTTAACTGCTACTCCTTCCCATTCCGACCCGTCTGCTCGGACATGCAATATCCTCACATGTAAATCGCCCTTTTCGTCGGAATGCTCACCGGCCGGTTACGACCCAGAAGCTCATCAATGTCAATTTCCATAAATTCCCTTCACAAACTGAACCACAAAGTTGCAAGTCAACGAATTTGACAAAAAAATTAACAAATTTTAATCCAATTGAAGGAGAAAGTTGGGAGCTTTACAATGAGTTCTCTATTTGGTTATTGGGGAAATGGAATAGTGGTGAATTGGGATTTTATCGGTAGCCAAACAGAGGGGAAAGAGGGAGAGAGAGAGAGAGAGAGAGAGAGTAGCGAAGATACCTGAGGACTCAAGGTGGACGAGGAAGAAAGGAGAAAACTGAAAAATGATTGTTGTTGGTGAAATGTTAAGAGAGAGGAGAGTGACAGAGATCAGTTTAATTTCTCACGATTTGGGGAGGGGGAGTTTTGCGGTTACTAGCTGATGGGATGAGATAAACCAATAAATGAAATTTGAGAAGTGTGCAGAAGTGCTGTGAAATTTTCAAATTTCAAAGATGTTAGAAATTTTGCAAAATTCTTGTCCCGCCTCCTCTAAATTTTTTAGTTAAGTGTGTGATTCCACCACATATTATGTCCATGATGGATAACAAAAAAACGATGTGGGGGTTAACAATAATAACCACAAGCATTGTCCGTAGTGGTTTTAGTATATTTATAACGTGCAATTTTGCGAGTGGTCATTCATTGCTATTTTACAACAAGCTAAGACTTGTACGTGATAAAATATTGTTATTACTACGTGCTTATTATGCCCGTGGTAAATTTGTACTTTTTATAACGAGCTTATAAAGTCCATGATAAAATTATCGTGGTAGATGAGTTGTGTGTTGTAGTGATCAACAGAGAAAATATACGCAAATATGCAAATCGATAGAACTATTTTCAGCTTCTTCTAGTTGACGAAGCTTCTCCAATGAGCTTTTCGCTCGAGCCAGGAACGCCCACAGGCGACATTCCTGCCCGAACACAAGGGAAAACAGTTGTGGCTGTCTTTTTAACCCCGAAAGCAGTGTTTTACGTTGGCGAGATATCTCAAGAGTACTTCACCAGTGGAATGCTCGCAGAAGGTGCCATCCAAACCAAGGAGTCTCTTAAGTCGGAGTCTCTAGCACCCGACGGAGAAAGAATCCTTACCTCAAGTTCCTTGATGTTACGCAACGGTGAAGAGCACGTCTTTCTGAAATCTTCCCGGAAAATGAGAGCCTGCACACCAGTCGTTGAGTCAACAAATTAAGGCACAACTTGAAATACAGAACAGCATTATAAACTAATTAAAGAGATGGCTACTTACCACAACATCGTGAACAAAGAGGGCTACTTTTTCAGAGCAAGCAAAATTATGGAGAAAATCGCTCAGGGTAGAAAAATGATTCCATGACCAGTCGATGGCAGGTTCTGAATCCCGAAGTTGGATTCTAACCTCCGAGAGATTTGGAGATTCGACTGAAATGTTGTTCATAGACCTCAAATGACCAATAAAAGTGAAGCAGAGTTGATTTGGAGCAGTGATGGTGGCCTTCACCGTATCTTGGCATCCATCTCTTAATACAAATTTTTGCAGGTGCCGAGCATGGATGTTAAAATATCTTAAGTTGCGTGCGGCATTCAGACAAAAAAATTCCCACAAGGAGTGGATATTCTGAGACAAATTGTAATGATTCCAGATTCATAGCTTCAACTGTCATACAGGGCAAACTACCCACTTCGTTCCTCTCAGACCAGCAATGCATAACTTCCAAGGATTTGAGACTGGAGCTTGAAACTCTAATGAGCTAATATAACATGAAGTTAATGACAAATAGTCAATCGAAGGGCATGCCTTAATTATGTAGGAGAGAGGACATTCCTTGGATATGTGCACCGATTTAAGGGACAGTTTTTAAAAAGGGATTTGAGGGACTTAGTCTTTCGAACTGGTAATATAAGGTTACATGCTCCAAATTCAAAGCAGCTATACTTTTGAGGGGATGCATACAAAGAAAAGAAATAAACTAGATACAACAAGGTTAAATATTTTAGTCTATGTCCAATCCAATGCAAGGATCTTGAACAAGAAGAATTTAGTCTATCATCCAAGAATCCTCCTCATTATGATTATATGCTTATTGTTTTTTAAATATTTAACTTTATGGATGTATATACTTTGTGTATACTTGTACTTCTATTTTTGCAGTCCATACAAGTATAGTTTTTTTCCATACAAGTATAGTTTTTTTTAGGTGTAAATAGACACTTATTTACAAGATATATAATAAATTTACATAAATCCGCCTAGGCGGCCTAGGGCTCTTACCCGTCGTCCGACTAGTGCTTCTCGTTTTTGAGAACCTTGTATTTGATTGGCTTGTATTTTTGTATCAATATATGTATGTTTATATCAATATATATATATATATATGTTTATGTTTATGTTATGTTTTTTTAATTTCAAATTGTGCACTGAGAAAGAAATTCATTTGATGTTGTAGATGTCAACTAAAAAATCCTAAGAATCTATGAAAGAAGTCAATACAAACCGTACAAATCTATAATATAAATCCATATAAATTTGCCAAAATCCATATAGTATTGTAGAGTCTATTAAAATCCTTTGAAATCTATCATAAAATCCTCCGAAATCAAAATTGACTACACCAGCATGTCTCTCCGCGTGAGATTTTAAAAAAATTCACTGTAAACATGGAGTCTATAGAAGTCCATTAAAATTCTAACAAACTCCAAGATTTACGCGTCTTCTGAAATTCTTCAAAATCCCAATCGAATACCCCCCTTACTTATTAGAGATTAGGGTAAAAGATTGTTTACTACCCTCATGTTTCATGGTTTTCAACATTTAGTACATCAATTTTTTTTCGTCTCATAGTCATACCTAAAGTGTAAATTTTGGGACAGTTTCATACATCCGTTAGTCAAACTGTTAATTCTCCCGTTAAGTGATGACATAGTGCCCATGTGGACAATGACTGGGCGCCACGTGTCATTAAAATATTAAAATATTATTATTATTAAAAAAAAAAAAAAAACCCTATCGTCTTCCCCACCCCGATCCCCCTCCCTACTTTCTCCCTTCTCTTCTCTGCACCTTCCCCCACCCCCTATATTCCCCCACTGCACATCCAAATCAAGTAAATTAACCCGTTTTCCACCTCCCTTCCTTCTTCCCTCTGCAACATTCTCTTCTGCTCCCCCATTTTTATCCCCCCTTCTCCACAACCACCACCTCCTCCACCATTCCTCTCCTAACCCCACCCCCTCTTCCTCCTCATTATCCTGCACCCCAACCCAACCCCACCCCCTGTCCCTCTTCCCCGATCCCCCTCATTCCTCCCTCTTCACCTCTCTCTCCCAAGCACCCTCCCTCTTCACCTCTCTCTCCCAAGCACAATCGATTGGAGGGTCCATCATCGAGTTTGGATCCGAACTTCTCCATGTCCAGTAGGTGCCGAAGATTTCGTCCTCAGAGCCGCCCAGCTCCTCGAAGCTGCAGGACGGGCTTCGAACGGGTCCTAGAGCAGATCCAGGTCGTCGGGATCAGAAAATGGATCTTGGATTGGGTTCGACGGTGGTAGGAGCCCCGAAACGGGGCGCTCGGAGTTGCGTCTAGCAACGGCTGCGCCATGCGTCTTGAAAGCTGGAGCTCGGATCCAGTTTCGGGTTGGCTGGATCTTGCATTTTGTCAGGTCCAGTTTCGGGGTGAGGGAAGGTGCAGAGGTTGGGGTTGGGTAGGTGCAAAGAAGAGAAGGGTATTTTGTTGAGTCCAGTTTCTGGGTGGGGCAAGGTGCAGAGGTTGGGGATTGGAGAGAGAGGGGAGGGGGGGTCGGGGTGGGGAAGATGACAGTTTTTTATTTTTTTTATTTTTATATATATATTTTTTATTATAATAATAATAATAATATTTTAATATTTTTAATAACACGTGGCGCCCAATCATTGTCCACATGGGCACTACGTCATCACTTAACTGGAGAATTAATAGTTTGACTAACGGATGTATGAAACTGTCCTAAAATTTACACTTTAGGTATGACTCTGGGACGAAAAAAAATTGATGTACTAAATGTTGAAAACCATGAAATATGGGGGTAGTAAACAGTCTTTTGCCCTAGAGATTATACAATTAAACATGGAAATGAGCAAATTGTATGAAGAACTCAAAACCCCCAAACCCCAAATAACAGCTTGCTAACAGAAAAACTGAACAATAAAGAGAGAGGAGATAAAAGGAGAGACCAGTAGGAGGCCGACCTGAAGACCTCCACATGGCCGTATGTCTGCAGTCGCGGCTGATTGAACGGTTTCAGGGCAGGGCTGTCAAGAAAATAGGACTAGAAAGAGTAAAGAGCTCATGGGGAGTGTATGAGTGTTGATTTAACGTCGCACACGTTTTTTTTTATCTTTGCACACCCTATTTATTTGTGTTCCTTAATTATTGTATGAATTATTAAATTTAAAGGCCCATAATAAGGCGTGCAAAAAGAAAAAAAAATGTGGAATTCATTTGCATTCAAATTTTTTGTATTAGTGGTCATATTTGATCTCGGGATGGTTAATGTACGTCAGAACTTACGTTTATACCCCCTCACACGCGTTACAGACGTCTCTTAAACAACTAACACGTGAGCGAATATTTTTCTTTCAGAGATGGCAAGGAGGACATTCTATATGCGTGAGGAGAATTTGATACATTGTTGCTGAGCAATACTGTGGGTTCGTCCAACTTTTCACTCTTCTTGGAGTAGAATATCCTCGCATTTTTTAAGAAACCAAAGTCAGTGATTTCTTTCAGCTTCATGGATCATTTTGGAGTGTTCCGACATGATGACAAGACGGTACGTAAAGTGTCATTAGCCTAAAGATCAGGCCTTAAGAAACCTGCAACCTCCTTTCGCTATCATAACTCAGCTCTCCATTTTGCTGGTCGTTAAAGAGACCTATTGATTAATTTACTTGATATGAGCTATATATGTTCCTTTTGTTCTTAGGGACAAGACACCATCATTGCTCATCCTTCACAATTCACTTTGCCTCTGCGCATTAAAGTTCGACACGCTGACGAAATGAAATGTTCAACAAGTAGATTTTACGTACGCAAGTTTATCTACGAGTTTTAGAAGATCATGGATTCGCTAAATTGGAAACAGAATGAAACTGTTGACATGCAAATTTTTATGAAAATAAATGTTAATCAAGCATTAAATTTCAACATACGAAGGTTTATACATGGTATGTACTATGTATCCCACAAATCGTACGGATATTTAGTATGTGACTCATCAAATCAGACAAGTCATCAAGAGAACACATGTCAACACTTGGCAGAAAAGAGTTATTTAATGTTAATTTAAATTAAATAATTTAAATTTAAATATAGTAAAGCCAAAATGGGATGATTGATTTATTTGATTTTATTTGATTAAGTCAAATATTAATTGATGAAGTCAAATCACAAGTCACGAACCAAGACACAAATCAAGTCTTGGTTTTTTGTAAGCAAAGCTTGGAGAGTTTATAAATACAAGGCTTCAAGACAAAGAAAGGGGTCCAAAAATCAATCCAAACA